GCAGTTTATTTATGTTCTGAATTTTCAGGTCCTTGTTCGGGTGAACTGGCTCCAGCACATCCGTCTATATGTCTGTACGCTGGACCACCACCAGGATGGATCTCATGCGGGGGTCTGATTGCTAGCACAGATGACCTAAACGTCGCTAGTTGGCAAGTCACATGACGTGTATAGCGATGGTCAATGCGCAGGCTCTGTGTGGCCAAAGGAGGAATTTAGAAGAACAGCGGTTGGATATGGACCAGTTGTGCAGTCACTCAAGAACAAGAAGAAGAGATCACCAGGAAATCAAGTAAATAAAATTTTTTCAAACCTATTTAAGAAATTCTCTAACCTCGTCCACAGCCAGAACAGCGTGTTTTGTAGTCTCTCGTGAAACGTCATGTGATCTCCATGTGGTAACAGAACATCTGGAATGATTGCCGGATTCGTGGGCGTCCCCATTGCGTCCCCCATAGTCAATAAGAATTCAACGGACAGAATTCCTATGACAGGCGGAGAACCTACGTGGTGTATGAGGCCGTGATAACTTTGGTACATCAGTGCCTCCAAAAACACCAAGTCATATTTCGTATCATTTGACCTGAAAACAAAAACAGTGTCAGTTCCACACAATGAGATGCATTAACTGATAAACCGGAACACAACTGTCTCTTCTCCGCCTCTCGGCAGGAACTGCATGACGCAACGTCATGCGCTACAGGATTTTTCCTGATACGAATATCGTTTCATAAAAAACACCAAAATCGACCAAATAAGAGGTGCAAGAAATTATCTCCCTGTGACATTTGCGTTGCGGTTTATCAGTGAAAGAAGTATTTAGATGTGCAAGGCATTTTTGCTCCTGGAAAACGTGTGGACGTATTGGAAGGTGTCGTCATTGGTCTGGATTGTAATGCCGTTTGGACTTGGAGGTAGATACCAACCAGCATTTCGAAGAAATATGCCGTTTCCATCTTGTGGGTTGAAGTGAGGTTATGTAGCATTAGGAGGACCAGGGTAGGGCTAATTGGCCAACTTGAATCAAGGATTGACGAGGAGATGGCCCGACCAGAAGGGAGTGTTGGGGGCTGTCTGGGTCGGGAGACCGAGAGGAAAAAGTGGACCTCTTAAGAGGCTAGATGGGAAACTGGAGTCAAGATGAAGGCAAGGGATGTGGACAACAGGAAGAAAGGGAAGAGAGAGAGAGAGAGCGAGAGAGAGGGGGGGGATGAGGAGACTCTTTAAGCAGACCAGAAGAGAATTGAACTAAAGGGAAGCCCCATATTATAGGTTCTCACAGTGGCGAGTTTGAAGATGGATGTCTTCTGGGATGTTGCACTGTGTAGTCTGGTAGGCGGTTGCCGACGTTTCAGGTGCTCAGGGCGATGATTCAAGACTCCATCTTCAGCCTTCATCGCCGTGATAACCACAAATATTAGTATTATAATGGTAGCCATGTATGGCATTAAATCAGGGAGCCAAGAGGTCATTCCGAGGAGGAGGAGGTCGACCTTGAAGCCGCCAGCACAGACTGGGAGAAGGAGTGGAACTTTCATACGCAAGTTTCAGCCAGTCCGTGACGGGCTGGGCAATTCATGTAGAAAGCAGGGCTGTGTAGTATGATTGTACCAACCTAATGAACGCTTGAAGCGGCGGTGAACTGAGCTGGTGCTCCGTAATGATGTTTAAGGCGTATATCAACTGTTCACAAAATTCGTATGGCGAGGCCTCGACCATTGCCGTAACGTCCACAAAGGAAGCGATGATTTCATACGAGAATGAGAGGTCAACGTCGGTGTAGTTGGGTAATGGAGTCTGGAACAGAAATGCGTTTGCAGTATGAGAAAATCCCGACCCCGAGGGCTTCTTTACTTAAATGAACAGATAGTCGTGAATCAAAAGCTGTATTCTGCATCGGCGCAGTAGTTTTTGGCCGGTGGAGAAGCTAGCGCAGCTGGTGGACGAAAATATTGATAAAATCCCCTTCCGCCCATGGAGGGAGATTGGAGATGCATAACAGGTCAATAGGTTAAAGCTGATCTCAAGGAAATGTTATGTAATGGTATGAAGTGGATTTTTCTGGTTCAGGTTATGGACCGGTGGCGGTCTCTTGTGATCACGGTAATGTACCTTCGGGTTCCATAAATGGCGGTCGATTATTTAACTGACTGATGCATTGTTTGCTCCTCAACAAGAACCCTGTTTTATGGAGTTAATACGTTTAAAAAGATAATTCTTTTTCGATTTTATAATCAGTTGCACGAGTTGCAAAAAGTAATATTTTTTGACGTAAATACGTCTATATTTTAGGGTCAGTGTCATTCGGCAAAAAGTGGAACGAAAAGTGTAACTTCATTGTTATGTTACCTTGGAAACGTCAATTGTTTACTCGGCATTGTTGTTACCTATAAAACATTTCATTACATTACATTCATCTACCACAGACCCATCTTAAGCGTAACTAATTCAAGTTAAATAAGCAATGTCTTAATCAAACTTTACTCAATTGTAAAGCATGTATAAAGGAAATATTTAGAATAAAGCCAACATATAAACTTCCTTTCCGTATAGACGTATTTACGTCAAATTCTCCGGAACCGTGGTTCCACTATCACTTTTTCTCTCGATAACGACAGGTGCTTATTATATATTCAAAAGTCCTTGCATTTGTCAGAACTATTTATCTTTGCACAAACGTAATATGTCGAAGTTCTCTGGAACCTTCGAAAACGCTTTCTAAAAGGACAGGAAATGAGCGATACGTTAATTTTTTTTAAAGTGGGAACACGTTAAGGTACAATTTGGCTGCACGCGACAGAGACAGGCGACCGAGGCAGGCGACAGAGTCACGAGACCGAGACTGGTCGCTTCCTGTCTGCTCTCTGTACAATCGTATGAAGTACAATTACGAGCGCGAGACAGAGACAAAGCACAGGAGACGGCTCTCGGACCAGTAGTGTCTCGCGACGGGCTCAGGCAGCACGTGTGTTGTTGAGTAAAATAATGGCAGAAATTAAATTTACTGGTGGCCAAGATGAGCAATTGGTAGAATTAGTAGCAGAAAATGATAAATGATTCTTTATTAACAGACAGAAATATCCTTCTTCACGTCTGGTTTTGAATATTGAACTCATAGGTTTTCTTTGTTTCTTTCGCAACAAATAACACAGCAACACATCATCTTCTTCGAGTAACCTTTTTAGAAGCATTTTTGTACTCATTTTTCACAGAATATGTGCACGTATGTCTCAACAAAACAAAGAAAACAAACACTTTGCCGCATGTCTCGGTCGCCATCTCAAAAGTGTGTGGCGACAAGCTGCGATGTGTCCGTCTCCCGTCTCTGTCGCCTGCCTCGGTCGCTTGTCTCTGTCGCGTGCAGCCAAATTGTACCTTTAATGTCCTGTGACGTGTTTCATGAAATAAACAAAACCAAAAAAAAACCTTTAGTCGCTTTGAAAGTTATTAGACACCCGCGGACATGATGAATAGTTTACTTAATTAGTCTGTCAGTTCTGAGGAAGAACTTCTAAATCACGATGTGCGTAGTAAATTATAGGCTTGCGATGGTCTGAACTATTATACACGTTAGTAGCATACGAAAACATTTTGAGAGACCTTGAGAGGACTCGGGCTAATGACTGTAATTTGATGTCCTCTGCTTGCCAAGGCCTTCATGATGTTTTGAAATGGCAGCTGATGACTGATGGACGGTGAGGGGAAGATTCCCAAGATTCGCGCTGATCTAGTACAGCACACTGCACCCAGCAGAAGTAGCAACACTGTTCTGTGATCCATTTGCCTGTGGACAGTTGAGACAAATCACTGACTGCAGGAAGCAGGAAACGTTCTGAAGATGGCAGCTGTTAGCATTAAGCTTCAATCGTATTTATCTCCTACGACCGACAGCATGTCCTATCGTATCCCGAATACCAACCAACAACTTCTCTGTACAGAAGAGTCAGAATAAATTCTGAATGGCGAGGGTCTCAGTAGCCATTACCATTTTAATATTATCCTCTCATCTACGGCGCGTATCTGTCCTAAAGGATCTCCTCCCTTCGTGATTTCCCAGTCTATTATATGCATTTATAATCTCCGTGCGTGGTACAGATCCAGCCGATCTAAAATAAATATGGCGTCGGTTTGACGTAACGCGTTTTGATTTACCTACTGTTTCATGAAATATCGCCCCGATTTAAGACGTTTTATTTCCCACTAATACAAACATGACTGAAAAGAAAGGTGTACTCCAGTGGAGTACGCTTGTTGTCCAAATGCGTTCTTTGCTATTTTTTTTTTTAAAAGCGTAATTACGCCACTGTATAACATTTTAAAGCGTCGAATTTACTAAATAAACTTTCTGTGCGTTGAGAAAATGTGTGTAAAGTTTCTTTTGAACTGTGTGTACACTAGATCGAAGTGCGGTAAATCCACACGATACTTTTCACTGCAGATAACCAATTTAATCGTAATCCGTTCACCAGTTTCTGCATATGAAATACGCGGAAGGATACACAGGACTGTTCACTGCACACGATTTGAACACGGAACCCGTCGTAGTAGTCTAGGTATAAAATTCGTCTCCGATATTTTGGGAGAAAAATCTTGAGATTTTTATTCAGCGCAAACGCAATCTCGTACCTTTTCCTACCTTAGTCGTATCAGGAGTGCGGTATAAACCATTTCGCTTCACTCAGTAGCCAGCAAGTAGGAGACTTGTTTTCTGGGATGTTTGAAGCCTTCAAGGTTGAAACCATTCTTTTATATAGTTAGAAGCACGAAAGCTGACAATGTTTGTTCGAGTAATGAATCGTAAACAGCGAAACATTTTACAACAGAGGGATGGTAAATTTATATTTTAGAGAACTGCAGGCGGACGTAACTTACCACGTTTGTAGCTCCTCAACCTTTGTCGTCTGTCAGCGGACTGCCCGGCAAATGTAGGGTGTCAGCATGACTTGCAGTGCCTTAACGATTACGTAATTTCAGAATTAGATAATTTAGGTATTTTTTTGCAGTCCGTTGTTGTGCAGTGGTCTACTTCGTCGTGACTGCTACATCGGTGATTAACCAGTGCGACGAAACACATGGGACCTTTTTTAGTTTGTGTGAACCCAAAAGCATTACGTGATGTGGGGGGGATTTTTTTTTAAAAAAAAAGTTCACTGAAATTTACGTGAACGAACAAGTCTTATTCCCAGGGCTCGCTTGATAGCAATTGCGTGCCGCATGTTTAATATTTTGAACGATTTTATGCGTTTGTAAGTAAGTGTGATAGGGAACGACCATTTTCTGCTGCTCCCAAACTCCAACATGGCGTATAGCGTGACAGATTTACTTTTACTTTGCTGTACTCGTAGTATTACTGTCATCCGATTTTAACCTTTAATTTTATATCACGAAATAGATAACGCACTGATGTTTAAGTGTTGTTAATATTAATAATTTCAAAGTGCAAAGTCTGGAAATCATGTGAGACCCTTGTGATTATATTAACGTCTTGTACACAAGTCTGAATTTTGAAGTTTTTTTAAGTGTAAGTACAGTGATGATGATGGAGGCAGTAAGTTCCTTTGAAGAATCGGTCAGTATGTAGCAGGTTACATGGTGCCAGATCCCAAAAGACAGCCATCTTCACGACTTTATTCTTTCTGGATCCACGACGTTATTGGAATACTTACCTCGTGATAGGCAATAATATTGTGTGCGTGATGACACGAACTTTTGACCTGGTCAGGAACTGTGTGACGCTTTTAAATTATGGCGTTGCGTGTGAAGAACCCGTCCAGACAGGACCAACACGACATCATTCAGTGTCCTCCTGCAGAGGGTTGTCTGCGAGCCGAAACGGGGAAAATGTTTGCTGTGTATGAAATTCTGGTGGAGTGGCATCTGGCTACGAAGATCGAACGGTATGGCCACGTCCTCGTCACAACACGTGAGACTCGCAAAGGTAGACGAAACATTCCACGTGGTGTCTGGTTTTGAAGCATCCGCCGTGAACCCCGGACTTGTCACCGCGTTGTTTCCACGTGTTCGGTCCCTCAAGAAGGCGCTGAAGAGCCATAGCTTCGGGTCGGACGATGACAAGGCCGCGGAGGGGTCCCATATGATGAGATTCCTGGCTCAGACCAACATGAGAACTACTTTAACAGTACCAGATCAAGAGTTGACATAAAAGATACTCCAGAAGATCAGCTCCACAGTTAAGTTGCTATGTGACATCTGCTGAAACTCCATAGTGCACGTCAACGTCGGGATGTCGTCGTGTCAAATGGCGTCCCAAGGCTTTTCTTCGGTTTATTTTAAATTTGGTGTCCGTGTTATGATAACAGGCATCACGACATTCTACGAGGTGCGATCGGAAAGTTTCTAGACTGCGCGTATAAAAACCCGTACACTTATCTCAGGTATTAAATTCATCCATCACCCTCGAAGTAGTTCCCCTGGGAGTGAACACAACGATCCCAGCGCCGCTGCCAAGCCTGGAAGCATCCCTGGAAATCTTTCTTTGTCAGCCTGTCAAGCACCATCTGCGATTCTGCCTGAATCTCTTCTATCGTCTCAAATCTCCTTCCCTTTACCTGAATTTTCTTCTTTGGGAAGAGGAAGAAGGCACACGGAGCTAAAAGTCGTTGATGGTACGACGATGGTCGATCTTCGTGAATGGCCTGCCGACTCTTCGTAACATTTTCGGGCGTTGTGCTCGAAGATGGTCGTCCAGCACGCTCGTCATCATCGACAGAGGTTCGGCCATTTTTAAAACGTGAATGCCACACAAACGTTTGTGCACGACCCATTGCGGACTCCCCAAATGCTTGCTTTAGCATTTCATAGGTTTTCGTAGCCGTTTTGGCGAGTCTTTGGCAAAATTTGATTTGTTCATGAAAATCCGCCATTCCGAAATCGCAGGAGGGTCGGTGTAATGCACTACCAAAACGCCCGTAACTAAGAAACAAATGCTAATTCGATGATGCCGGCTGGCACACTGATTCACTATGAATGTAGGCCGCACCCCCTAAAGGCAAAAGCTCGTACTACATCCGGTTCGCCCGCTATTGACACAATCTTGAAACTTTCCGATCGCACCTCGTACAGTGAGTTGTCAGTGTTGTTTATTATGACATCCTGAGGCTCGTCTTTGCTACATGATTACACCTTGACGGTGTTCTGTCGATGAATTTGCGTTGGGGTGTCGTATTTTGTGCGCGAGAAATGATTCGCCTTTCACTCTCAGTATCATTCTGGTTTGGATATGGTTTGATCTTGTTTTTAGACTACAAAAAAAAACTTACTTGATATGTAATGTCTTGGCCTGTGGCCACGATGAGAAAATTAGATCTGGTCCAAGATTAATTACAAGATTGTCATATGAGAAATCAGTAATAATGTTTGATCCACGTGATTTGCCATTTTTGGTCCAGATATGTAACGTCATTTAACAGCGAGTAGCGATTAGTGTTTAGGTATGATTAATTAAAAGACAGAATAAAAATTGTCGAATTTTTTAATCACTATTCCACTTTATTATGGTGATTCATATATTAGTTTATAAAAGACATTTTAAGAATATTCACATGAATGATATATGAAACACTGGTAATTAAATATTACACTTGAATGAATTTGTTTTGACATGATGTCATGGGGCACAGCACTAGAAAAGTTTTGCTATCCAGACGACCACAAGACAGGAAAGGGATATCACATGGACAAATGCTGCACCTAAAACAAAATAAAAAGAAACAATTTTGGAAACTGTACTCTTGTTCCGTAGCATGTATCAGGTGAACCTGCCAGTAGAATGGCTCTGAGCCTAGGAATAAGTAAATTTTAGGCATTGATACGCATTTCCTCAAGTTCAGCTTATCTGATCAAATAGCAAAATATTTAGAAGTAATCAGAAACTTTTCATAAAATGTTATTAAGATGATTAAATCAAGGAGTGTGAGATTTTTGAAATATGTAACACACATGAAAGAGTTGAGAAATGCATACAGAATTTTAGTTGGGAAACTTGGAGCAAAGAGAACACTTTGGAGACTTATGGTAGGATGATATTAAAATGGATCTTAAAGAAACAGGGTATGAGGATGTGAATTGGATCCATCCAGGTGGGGGTGAGTGGTCAGCATCACGCCCTGGCCGCGCTTTACCCCCGGCAAAGGATCCCGGTACCCATTGGACAGGAGGCTGGGTGGGCCCCAGAGCCAGTCTGGACGAAGAGGCTAGAGGAAAAATCTTCTGCCCCTCGTCGGGGATCGAACCCCAGTCGTCCAGCTCGTAGCTAGTCACTATACTGACGGCTAACCCGCCTCATGAAATTTCATAAAACATACTGTAAATATTAGTAATTATTATATAAATCCAAGTGTTATGTTTATATTGCTCTTTACTTATTTGGTATTTGTAAACTGATATAAATTAATTTTGGTTTATACAGTGTGTCCACAAAGTCCCTTCGGGGTTTTGAAAAATTGTGGCGCGCAAATTGTTACTTCCACATTCAACGGTACACAAAGTGATACATAAGAGGTTGAGGTTATGTGCATACAAAGTTCAGTTAGTGCAGCAGTTGTAACCTGGTGATGGCATAGCACGTCATCAATTCGCAGAAGAAATGCTCGACCGCATTGACCTTGATGTGGGCTTCTTGAAAAAAATCATGTTCACAGACGAGGCAAATTTCACAGGCATAATGTGCGCATATGGGGCACTGAAAACCCACATGTTGTTAGGGAGCACATACGCGATAGTCCGAAAGTGAACGTGTGGTGTGGTGTAATGCATGACCAGGTTATTGGACCGTTCTTTTTTCAAGGGCAGACGATCAACATGAACATCTACCTGGACATGCTGGAACTGTACGCAGTACCAAAAATTGAGCACACACATCATTCTTCAACAAGATGGTGCTCCACCTCATTGGGGTCTGCAGGTACGTGCATACCTAGACAGGACATTTCCAGGAAGATGGGTCGGCAGAGACGGTCCAATGCCTTGGCCTCCACGTTTACCAGATATAACACCACTGGTTTTTTTCCTGTGGAATTATGTCAAGAGCAATGTGTTCCGAACACCAGTTAACGGACTTGATGACCTGAAGACCCGTATCAGGAATACTCAACCTTTCCCAGGTTTGGTGAACACTGTTCGCTGTAGTCGCATCCAGTACCAATTTCATGGACGACTGTAACGGGAATGTACGATTTTAGCATGTGTACGGGGGAGTTCATTCTTGTCATCAGCACTTTTTATATTTGTAAATAGAAATGTTTAGATCTGCTATTATAATTAAATTTGTTGACTATTATTTGTAGCGTAAAATGTAAGACTAACAGCCCAAAGCTGTTTTACAAGTCTACAGATCAGAAAAGCAACCCTGAGCTACAGCATTTTGTAGAAACAGAGCATGTATATCTAAATAAGTTTCAAAACTATTTTAAAATCTCACGTGGAAGGCAAAGGGTGGTATTTGCGGCAGCAACGAAACTATCTCGACATGTGCACTTGGCTCTGTCGCGTAACATAATGTTACAGAGTGAGTTTTCAAGATCTTTGCAGTCCTGGTCAGAAGTACAGTCTCCCCCAATGACTGTAAAATAAAAGTGATTATTAGTCATGTGAATGCGTCATATCAGTAAAATAATAATGGCAGAATATGGACAATAATTGCAGTATGACAAAGAAATAGCACAGCATAACGACGAGGTTTTAAAACTATTGAATCTTTGGACACTCGTTTAATGCGTCAAATGGATTCATAGTCACACGTGTGCATGAAACATACAATTTGTAGATAATATCATTAGCGATTTAAAATCATGTCAAATTTGTGGTTACTGCGTGACTAATGAATGATACAAGAAATATGCAGGAAGTTTTTCATCCCTGTTAAGAGTTTCTAAGAGTGTAAAAATATTTCATTTCACCTCGTTATTGAAAGAGGGAAATGAATTATTTATCTAGCTAATAAGTTAATAAATTTTAGTTCTACGAAAGGCAGGAAATATCCTGTCCAGCTCAGCGCGAAAATTAGTTCGTAAAGAACTCTACTCGATGGAGTTCGTGTGAAAGGGATTTTGAGGCTAGATGAAATTGATTGACTCTTGTCTGGGCGACTGTAAGCGTTAGAAGGTCATTTTTAGTTGTGATAATGTGTGTCATAACGCTTTATCATTCTCAGGAGTGGGACAGAATCGTGTAATGTGATGAGTTTATGTTATCAGGTGACTAAAATTATTGGGAAGACACTCCTTGTTTGCTGTTTGCCTCCTGAACACAGTCACAAATAGAAAGATTCCCAAGTCACAGGCGGTCAGTGACTAAGCTCTTACGGAAATGTTGACGGAGATAATGGAGGAAGGTCTTGTATTAAAATATCAATTTCCTTAACTTACCATACCGCAACAGTGCTTCTAGCGGTTAGAACCGTGGCCTTGTAATCCTGGGGTCTCGGGTTCGATTCCCGGCGGTGCCCGAATTTATAACTTGTGTTGGGCAAGGCCGTGGTCTAGGCAACACGGAGTTTTCCTCCGGGGGCTTCCCCGGTTTCTCCGTGGCACTCCATACACACAGAAGATTACACTTCTGTATCACCTGCCTAAAAACATATATGAACAGGTCCCAGTCCGAGAAAAGGGTGGAAGGATCCTGTTCATAATATGTCGCCAACGTCTTGTAAGGAGACGGTGTAATAAAGAATAAGTTACTTACCACATCTGTCTCCATCTCTGATGAATCCGTTCCTACAACTACACTGTCCAGAGTAACACCACACTCTCTCTTGTTTCAGGTCACCTGGCACTGAACATTCAATGTCTCTCATACAGTTTTCTCCCAGAGCTGCAGTAAAGAAAACCCAGGTACTTTAACAAGTGTATATATCTCTCACATTTCATTTATCAATACATAAATTTAAATTGGTGTTTATTATTGATGGGACATACAAAGATTGATGGAGAACATTTAATATTTTCCTGTGGTCTCAACAGGCACTTGTTATAAGCCCCTTGAGTTACGTGACAGATGTTCATTTAATATTCTGTTACTTTCCGGACCTCTTCAAGTGTTCGTGTTGATGGCAATAGAGTACAGTAATTAAGTAAGATAAGAACATGGATTTTCGTCATAAGACTATATATTCTATTGCCACCTCGTATCTTTTATACATACACAGTGATCCAACGCAGAGAGCTCCATTGTAGTTTAAGTTGGCCTTGCACTGGCATTTGTTGTTCCTGCATTCCGTTTCCTGCGAGTACTGACACTGAAGAGTCTCTGTACACGCTTCGTCGTGGTTGGCAACTTGAAAGTAACACGTGTTTCATCATAATACAAAGATATATAATTTCACATGTGCAGGTCTAAGGCTGATTTTTTTGTAATTATCAGTAATCAGTAAAGCACATAGGTTTCCTTAAGCCAACTGACAGCATCGTTAAGCAATCATCATTAATAACAATGTTTGATAACCCAAGCTATGGCATAGTTCAGACTCCGTATGTGTTCTGCCACATTTAACTTCCACATTAAGTGACAAAATTTAGTTATTCAGATTATACATTTATTTCTTCTAGATATACATTTGGGGGTCTGCAGTGGCTGCAGGGTTTGAGGCGTGGGCCTTGTGTCGCTGGGACCGTGGGTTCGAATCCCACTCAAGCCATGGATGTTTGTCTCTGTTGTGCTGTCCTGAGTACAGGTAGAGGCCTTGTGACGGGCCGATCCCTCATCCAGGGAGTCCCACCGAATGTCTATAGATCGAGCCAACGAAAGGTTGGGACCCGCAGTGCTCAGGCACTTGAAGATCGGGTCGATCCCATTATCCCAGATATACATTTGTTTTACTGTGTGTAATTGCTAGCAAAGAACGGTTGTTTGTTTGAATGTTAGTAATGCAGTATATATGGCTAGTATATTTTGAAGAAAATGTGTAATCTCTGCAGTGATGTACCACAAAAGTGGCTCAAGTGTTAGACACGCGTTTGGAACATTTAAATATCTCTCTGAGCAGAATGATACAAAATTATTTCATGTGTGAGAAGGTAACAAGTACAATCTTGAGAAAACATATCACATATTTTCAGCCTTTGTCTCTGAGAATTTTTGACAAGCCGGGGAAAAGAGAAAAAAAAACCACTTTCCGCTCAATTTAATCTCAGAGTCAACGTAAAACACGCTTACCATGAAGACATCTCCTGCTATCACGGTCTGCCACATAATCTTTCATACAGGTGCAGGACTCGTCTATGCACACTGTGTTTTCCACATTTACACAGTCTGTAGATACTGTGCATGCACTTCCTATTCCTATTTCTGCAAAACATGAAATAAATCAGAATAGACAACCCCAGACAAGTGGTGTTAGCGAAATAGTCGAGGCTTACACTCATGTTGAGTGCCTGGCTGGTTGCGGTTGACTGATGATGCAGTACTGCCGAACCACTAAAGTAAGACAGAAGAAGATTTTTATTTATTATTTTTTAAAGTGTTAGCCAGGCTAACAAGGCTAAATTAGTTAACGAGAATACTTCGCCCCTGATGAATATTTTTCAGGCTATATTCATAGGCACAAAATTATTATCAGTTTTGTAAATGAAAAATTAGGTTCGAGAGAGTGTGAGTGGTACTAGACGTACTTTTGAATCTGCACTAACGTGACAATCGTGTGACGTCTCCTTCCGCTGCTCTTCCTCGATTCATTTGGGATTCAAGAGCGCTTTGATTCAAAATGTGAAATGCATTTTTATCAATTAATTGCGATGTTATTTTGTTCATAAAACTAGATTTTCGTGACACATTGCAACGAAAAATTTTGTCATATGAACTATGCTTGGAACTTTTTGTCTTACAGGCAGATTCTGGGATGTACCTTAATTAGGCCATGTCCGCTTCCTTCCACATCCTTTCTAATTCATTATTAACTATCATCTTGTCGTTCGACGACATACGGTCCGACCTACTGAAAAAGCATCTTCAGTTATAAATATGTGCCATAAACAGATTTTCTCTAAGAAAATGATGGTCCCTTGGTCTTGTGGGTTTTTTCGTTACCTGAATCATTTCACCATTTCTACCTTGCCATTCGTTTATGCCAGAAATCATTTGTAGGTCTGACGACACTCTATCAACTACAAGGTGGCAAAATCAAGTGTCAGAGAGAAGGAGATCATTGTGTACGAATGACTGCGGAAATCCTCATTCAGAACAGCAGAAATTCGGGTGAAATTGGAAGCGAGAACATCCCATATCACTCTTTATCCTTTTGGATCAATAGTATTGGCCTGGGGGAAGTGGCACTCCTGTGTGGAAGGACCATTATCTTCTGACTCTGCAACTGGGTCATTGTGACAGTCAAGTTGGTAAACTGAAATACATACAGCTTGATGGATTTGGCTCACCTAGTGGAAAGTTTGTTAAGGACTAGACAGCCTTATCTTTCCCGAAACCTTGGGACGTGTGTTATCAGTGTTCGTATTTAAAATTTGACCTTAACTGTGCAAACAGTAATATCTCATGATTATGAAACAAATTGCTTTGAACGTTGCCATTACTTACAACTTTACTTAGTTCTGTATTTCTTTTTTAGTTTCATGACTTGTTTCTTATCCTGTTAAATGTAGCCTGACGTCGTCATGTATTTACACATTATGACTGACCTTCTCAGTCAAATGGTTAGTATCTCTGCTTCGTGTTCAGGAGGTTCTGGCTTCATACCTCAGCCTGGAAACTGGCTGTCCTGAGTGAGGTATTTCGTGGTCTGTCTCAGTCCCTTAAGGTAAATACTGGGATAGTACGATAAATAAAGCCAAACACCCCCCCCCCCCACAACGTCTTTTTCAGTTAATCATATGTTAACTATCCATACTATCAGTACTTTTTTTGAGACGGTTGTACAATTCACACAGCGGGAATGTGGAATACAATATAGCAAAGTTTAGTATAAAATGAGTTAGCTCTCTCACTACAATTTCGTTCTTCCTAAAAATGAATCTGTAATAAATTCCTTCCTGTATCAGAGAAACGCTAAGTTACACGTCATCAGACCTCGTCACAGCGATTATTTCCCTAAACAGCATCAACCAGTTGATCTTTGTAATGGTGAAGTGTTTTCTTTGCGGTACGGGCTGTTTTCTTTAGTATTAGCGTAGACGTGCGTAACCTGTTCCAACTCGACCAAGGTTTTCCGTGGTTTTCCTCGGTACTAGAGCAAATGCTGAGTTGGTACCCAAATCCCACGTTGCTCTGCATGCCTCCCATGCAGCCCTCTCAGAGTAATATCAAAATTCCGCTCTATAGTAGCCCCCCCCCCCAAAATTAACGTAAATTATTCCTAACGCCACCCCCAAGGCCAATATCAAAATTCAAAATTAACGCAAAGACCCGAATCAACTCCCCCCTACCCTATTTCTTACCCCATCCTGTCTCCTAAACCCCTTGTCCTCACTAAACTTATTCATACCAGAAGGACGAGCGGGCGCTGCCTGGGAACCTTCGTAGCCCACAACCAACTTTATACCCCTCCCCCATTTATAACAGTAGTGCCTATCGCTACTCCCCCCACTTTCTCTCTTCTCTCTCTCTCTCGTAACCTGTTAGAGGGGACCGGTCACGCTGCGTGGACACAGTGGTGAATAAAAAAGTTCGTTTTTGTTCCGGGGTGGAATCCCGTAGCGCGTCGCTTTAGTGACTTCGACTTTTAACTTGAAAATTTATTTTGTTACTATCAACCCGTATAAAACACACACGCCGCTAGAAGAAGAAAATATTGAAGTTACTTTGCAGTTTTTTTTAAAAAAACAACAACCCAAATTTACACATGTCGATGTTGGTTTTCAGAGCTGAAAATGGAGAAATTATGTTCGTCTTAAAAGTTGGTACATACCAACTTGTCCACAGAGCGTTGCAACCCAGAAGACGAACATCGACATTTTCAGCGTTGCGAGAACCTCGAAACTCAAAAATTTAGTAGAGATCTTTACATAAGTGCGTACGTGTTTCTGCCTACGAAGCTGTAGTTGTTGCCACTGGTTTAAAATTTCAGACAAACTAAGCAGTTGAGAACACACTTCTAAATCCGAAATATTGATGCAATTACAATTCCTCTCCTGTTTCAGAGTGTAAATAAATTTTATGAGACATATTTTGTGATATTTGGCCCTTTTGAATTTTTAAATTTGTATACATTTTCGAGTAGCCGCAGTTAACTTTGTAGTGTAACGTACCTGCCGCTGACACGTGGCAGCAGCCGATGACTGCCATGAACACCACACACAACACTCTTGAAAGAAACATAGTAATTTAATCTTCTGAGCGATGAGCAGAAACTGCAGAGTTATAAATACGTCGCTCTGAGCAGTACTGCCGAGTGGGTTCACAAAATCAACTAATTTCTTATCCTCAAATTCAAACAGATTCATAGCAGGATGTTTGATAAGATAATATTTTTTTCACCGTGTTTGTCACGTATAGAATATTTTCGAAGGGTGTGGCGTATGTTGACACGAAAAGACGCTGTTACTCGTTTATAGCGACTTATAAGCACCAAACTGGATTTCTGGATACTCATATCCTGACTGTAACAAAATTCCTGGAGGACGCGTGTATTCTGCTAAAACGGGATCACGTATCATCATCCAGCTCAATCGGAAGGAGTGGTTATCTCCTCTCACGCGTCACTGCCGGCCCCGAAGATATGGTGACATCACGCGGAGGGGACATTTCTGCTCCTTTCGCTAACGATTACATAGAAACTATTGCAATAAACAGAATGAAAAAAAAACTTTTTCTTGTCGGTACCTCGTTGTCTCGACGTTTGTGTACGTTGCTGAAGCAAATGTTTTCCCATCCAGACAGCAACTTTCGTAATAAAATGGATTTAAGATTAGGTTAGGTTCTCACAACCCAGAGACTATTATTATTATTAAGTGTTCTGTCTTACGACAGGTCCAAAAAGAGCTCTCCAGTTGTCCCTATTCTCGGCTTCTCGCTTTAATTCCTGGAACGTCATCTTCTTTCCTTGTTTAAGATCGTCGGTTAGCTGTATCAATCTTCTTCCTAGTCCTCTCTTTCCTTCAATCTGGCCTTCGGTGATATCACTCAGTAATCCATTCCTTCTCATAATATGTCCCAGCCAGTTAGCTTTCCTTCGTGTAATCGCCTGCAGAATGTTTCTTTGCTCGTTGACTCTCCTCAATACTTCTTCGTTGGTCACTCGATCCGTCCACCTGATCTTCTCTATTCTTCTCCAACACCACATTTCAAAACTCTCCAGGTATTTCTGTTCCTTCTTCCTGAGTGTCCAAGTCTCTGCTCCATACGTAACACTTCACTAGTTTCTTCTTCATCTCCAAGCCCAACTTGCTAGTGAGAAGTATCCTCTTCTTGACGAAAGCTGCCTTGGCCATGGCTATCCTTGCCTTTACCTCCTTGGTGCATAGAACATCCGTCGTGACTATGCTTCCCAAGTACTTGAAATCCCAGAGACTAACTGCAGGAAAATGAATTCTTTAGCGAATATCGTGCTTAAAACCTAACGAAACCACTGTTGTCAGCATCAGTGATGGGTATGAATTCAAGTTTCAACAGTGACCAACATGGGGCAAAGGTGTAACACGCAGTGACGAAACTGGGGTATGCGTAAACACTCCACCACCATCACCAGAAAGGGCATTATATACAGGTAGTCCTCGATTTGCGCCGATTCAGAATAACGCCGATTTTGAAACCAGAAAGTCAAAAAGTGAATAAAATATATTTTAACGTTGAATAACGTTTATAAAATCACGGTACACTCGACGGAAACCGTAAGACGTAAGGTAACGCTGGAGTGTAACTTCTTCAAACGCCAATAACTCGAGATCTATAAACCTATATGTAAATTAAAGAGTAAATAAAGGGATTTTTCTACATGATGTTTACTTTATTCTATAAATTGTTGAAATAATTACCCAAAAACACGTAATAACTATACCCTCGTTCCTCAACTTCAACCGCTTGCCACGTCTAAAGCGTGAGAGTTAGATCTGGAAATATTGCGAGTGAAATACGTAAATAAACACGAGCTTTTCAAATTAGTAAACAGATTTCAGCTAACTCTCACGGTTTAGGAGTTTCGGCCATTTATTTGGTAACAAAGAACGGTTCTGGAGTGAGTGTGTTGAGTACATGACGCAACACATATATAAGATGGCGGCGGATGACGTCACGTGTAGATAAGACGTAAAGGTGTACATTGATGTGTAAATAAAATGTTATTTGGATACAAATAAACTTCTACAGTTAAACGCTATTCAGCGTTAATTAGGGAACCGTGGTTCCACTGTCAATTTTTTTAAATTCCCTTTATTTAATTTACGTTATTTCAGAGCTTTAAATGTAATGCCATTATATTACCCGTCAATGTTTGGGTGCTGGGAACGCATATCATTGACTTCCCATTGATTTACATTATAAAAGAGTTTCAATTTACGCCGATTCAGTTTACGCCGGTTCTTCCAGGAGGGCTACCTGTACATTCTATTGCCACCATGTAGTTTTCTGTACATACGCTTTTTTCCAACGCAGCGAGCCCCATTGTAGTTAAAGTTGGCCTTGCACTGGCATTTGTTGTTCCTGCATTCCGTTTCCTGCGAGTACTGACACTGAAGAGTCTCTGTACACGCTTCGTCGTGGTTGACAACTTGAAAGTAACACGTGTTTCATCATAATACAAAGAAATATAATTTCACATGTGCAGGTCTAAGGCTGACTTTCTTTTTGTAATTATCAGTAATCAGTAAAGCACATAGGTTTCCTTAAGCCAACTGACAGCATCGTTAAGTACTCACCATTAATAACAATGTTAGTTAGTTAGTTAGTTATTCGGAACATACATTTATTTCTTCTAGATACTCATTTAGTGTAAAGTAAGTAAAGTAAAGTTTGTCCCACTATACGCCATGTAGGCGTTTGGGGGGAGTGGAGGTATAGCTCCTCTCTTCTATGACCTCAGCACTAGATGGGGGTGAGTGGTCAGCATCACGCCCCGGCCGGCTTTAACCCCTGGAAAGGACCCAGGTACGCATTGGACAGGAGGCTGGGTGGGCCCCAGAGCCGGTCTGGACGCAGAGGCTAGAGGAAAAATCTTCTGCCCCTCGCCGGGGATCGAACCCTTTGTCGTCCAGCCCGTAGCTAGTCACTATACTGACTGAGCTATCCCGGCTCATGGAATTTCATAAAACATACTGTAAATATTAGTAATTATATAAATCCAAGTGTTATGTTTATATTTATCTTTACTTATTTGATATTTGTAAACTGATATAAATTAATTTTGGTTTATATATTTTGAGTAGTGCCTGGAAACATGAACTTACCACAAGTGCCATCCTCCTTGTTCAGAGTGGCGCCTTCAGCACACTGGCATTGATTTTGTATGCACTCAACCTTTCCCAGGTTTGGTGAACACTGTTCACTGTAGTTGCATCCAGAACCAATTTCATGGACGACTGTAACGGAAATGTACGATTTTAGCATGTGTACGGGGGAGTTCATTCTTGTCATCAGCACTTTTTATATTTGTAAATAGAAATGTTTAGATCTGCTATTATAATTAAATTTGTTGACTATTATTTGTAGCGTAAAATGTAAGACTAACAGCCCAAAGCTGTTTTACAAGTCTACAGATCAGAAAAGCAACCCTGAGCTACAGCATTTTGTAGAAACAGAGCATGTATATCTAAATAAGTTTCAAAACTATTTTAAAATCTCACGTGGAAGGCAAAGGGTGGTATTTGCGGCAGCAACGAAACTATCTCGACATGTGCACTTGGCTCTGTCGCGTAACATAATGTTACAGAGTGAGTTTTCAAGATCTTTGCAGTCCTGGTCAGAAGTACAGTCTCCCCCAATGACTGTAAAATAAAAGTGATTATTAGTCATGTGAATGCGTCATATCAGTAAAATAATAATGGCAGAATATGGACAATAATTGCAGTATGACAAAGAAATAGCACAGCATAACGACGAGGTTTTAAAACTATTGAATCTTTGGACACTCGTTTAATGCGTCAAATGGATTCATAGTCACACGTGTGCATGAAACATACAATTTGTAGATAATATCATTAGCGATTTAAAATCATGTCAAATTTGTGGTTACTGCGTGACTAATGAATGATACAAGAAATATGCAGGAAGTTTTTCATCCCTGTTAAGAGTTTCTAAGAGTGTAAAAATATTTCATTTCACCTCGTTATTGAAAGAGGGAAATGAATTATTTATCTAGCTAATAAGTTAATAAATTTTAGTTCTACGAAAGGCAGGAAATATCCTGTCCAGCTCAGCGCGAAAATTAGTTTGTAAAGAACTCTACTCGATGGAGTTCGTGTGAAAGGGATTTTGAGGCTAGATGAAATTGATTGACATTTATCTGGACAACTGTAAGCGTTAGAAGGTCATTTTTAGTTGTGATAAAGTGTGTCATAACGCTTTATCATTCTCAGGAGTGGGACAGAATCGTGTAATGTGATGAGTTTATGTTATCAGGTGACTAAAATTATTGGGAAGACACTCCTTGTTTGCTGTTTGCCTCCTGAACACAGTCACAAATAGAAAGATTCCCAAGTCACAGGCGGTCAGTGACTAAGCTCTTACGGAAATGTTGACGGAGATAATGGAGGAAGATCTTGTATTAAAATATCAATTGCCTGTAACTTACCACATCTGTCTCCATCTCTGATGAATCCTTTCTTACAACTACACTGTCCAGAGTAACACCACACTCTCTCTTGTTTCAGGTCATCTGGCAGTGAACATTCAATGTCTCTCACACAGTTTTCTCCCAGAGCTGCAGTAAAGGAAACCCAGGTATTTTAACAAGTATCTAGCAATCAAAATACTTTTTAGTTAATATTTTCCACATTGTAAGAAGATACTGGTAATTATAATTAATTTGCAGTCTCGTCTGTACTGTCATCATCATTGACACTGTCACCCACTCTTTCTTGCCAGTGTTACGTAAATTAGTGGTTAATTCATTGTCCATCTACTCCTCTAACTTTTTTTTGATATCCATTTGTTTGTTTCGTTTCTCTACATAGAAAATATCACTCTTTCACTTGTGTACTTTAGGGAGAGTCTTGGAAAATGTAAATAAAAACGAAGCAGAGATAAGAAATGGAATGTAGTTAAGACGTCAGTAAGAAAATTTGAAAACTCGTGTTGTGTGAGATAGTTTTTAAAATACGTAGTTTGAATCCTGGAGAACCATTTTGTTGTATTCAAATTTTTTTCTAGGGATACGAAGTAGGTGTGTGAAGTTCGGAATTTTATTATTGTTTTTAAAAAAACACAATTTCCCGTAGACTGTTACAGGGCTCCTTCTTAAGATTTTTACAAGCATAAACAATCAAATCCCTGCAACCTATATATATATATATATATATATTATTAAAGAGTGCATTTCAATCTGTGTTCTGGGATTAAAATGAAACATATGCTTGAAATTAAATTTTTACTTTGAATCTTAAAAAGGACGCTGTTATGCTCGAAATATGTTGTACACTGTAATAACAAATTTTCCTCCTTATCTTTTAACTTCCTTTGTTCACAATCATCCTGTCATTTGACGCTGTACAGGCCTCGCGTTGTTGCTGAAAAAAAATGAATGAAATAGCCGTCTAGTGGCGCCATAGTACATCCACGTTCTTCGGCGTGTACAAGCGACGAGCCGATCCCTCTCGAGTAATCGTGAGAATATTAGCGAGCGACGTGTCCACGTAGCAGTGGACAAAGGAACAGTTGATAAGAGTGATATGATATGAATTTCGACATCCTTATTCTGACCGTGATTAGCTTGTGTTTGCAGTCTTACCTGACGCGGATACACTGTAGCAGTAAGTCATTACAGCAAACACGCACAACACACTTGGAGCAGACATGGCGAAAGCTGCAATGGTTTCGGAGCAGGAAATATTCGGAAAGTCTTGAACGAAGCAGCGATAAGATAAGACTATAACAGGATTTGCAGTAGGCATAATCCTCGCGCTAAAATATTTAAAAAAGGAACAATCCCAAGCAAACCGAAACCATATTTAAGAAAGAGGGAAGGAGGTATCAGTTTTGTGCCAATTATTATTCTTACCACGTCAGTTTATTTGGTCCAATCGGCTACATCGTATGAGCACACTTTGTGATGTTATCTTGAAAGTGAGACATACTAACTTTTTCCTCTAAGACGGAAGAGGTTTATTCTTTTTTCTTATAAGGGATTTATTGAAGCGGGGAAGGAATATTAAAGGTTGAAGATGGCTGTCTTCAGAGTTGTAGCTCCGTGTTTTCTGATAGAAGTTTACCAGCGTTTCAGACGTCCTTGCTGCTTCCATCATCAGGGTGATGACGTATTGCCATCTTTGTACTCACCGCCGTGAGGATTCATATCCTACGTAGTTAACCTTTTTATCGACTGAGCTATTGTGTACACCATACACGTCCGCAAAATGTTAATCTGTGGTATTTTCTTGTGTGTACGTTGGTAGCAACTAGATAGTAAGCTGTAATTCAAACGCCAGACATCGCAGTAATCACGGTGTGAAGTTTGAAAATCGGATTGTAGAAATTATAGTTCTGTACATCACTTGGTGAATAGTAAATAGTGCATTATTAATGTTTTTGTAAAGTTTTAATTTATCGTGTTCATTCACTGTTAAACTCGCCTGCCAAAAGTCATAGATGTTATTGCAAGATCAGAAATCGTGCCTTCAATTGAAGAAACCAGTATTCAAATAATAAGGTTAGATTTCCTGATTTGTTACTGTAGAGCTTTCCATGAACTTTTGAAGCAAATAGAATTGCCACATTCTCCATGACGTCAGCTGTATGTACTACGCAGTTCTGCACTCTCCTTGAACTTGCATACTCAGGTTTTCACAGCGATGATCATGAAGATGAATGTTTTGAGGAATGCAGCATCATGTAGTACGATATATATTGACTTCCTTTCGAGAGGAGCTTACGGTCTCCATTTTCAGGGTATCCTTATGATGGAGGTAGTAACTTCCTCAGAAATGTTGGTCATTATGTACATGAATAAGTGGTGTTCCGTCCCAGAAGACAACCATCATGTTATATACTTTGTATTGATAGAGTTTAATTTTTGTAGCTTTCCTGTGAGTTCCCCAAGTTAATTTTTATTGTTACCAGTATGCTGTCCATGAAGAGGAAAAGTTAAAATGAAGTAGGATTTGAGGTTTTCACGGTGATGAGTCCAGAGATGGCTGTTTTCTGGGTTGTTGGGCTTCTACCGTAGTACGTGGCGCTACAACCCAGAAGACAGACATCTTTGGTTAAAATTAAAGTTTTGTATTCTTAGAGCCCACAATTTCTAAGCAGTTATGCATTTTTAAAGGTTCTAGGCTTATTATTTTTTTTTAGCTGGTTCTTCTGTTCCTCGGATATAGTATTACATGATATATTTATGTCTTGACACAAATTCTAGCAATGCAGAATCATAGGATTGAGCTGTAATTGGGAATTGGAATTATTTCTGTATGTGGAACTAGAGAAGGAATGGTGATGATTTCATGAACACATGCTTAAATATGCATGAGGCATGTTGATGGTAACAAATAGTATTTGTGTCTATTATAGCCTAATTGTAACAGGATGATTTTCTTGTTTTGGTAGATTTTGGAAAGCAATTCATGGCTTCTGATGTATTAAACAAAACTAAAATGTGCTTCTCTGCATGTTATTGCCATGTGGTATTTATTACACAATAATAAGAACTGCAAACAGTTTTATAGTTTTCTTTTGCAAGAAAAATCCATATTTGGTGAATCCTGGGCTGAAATTTATGCTCATTGAAGATATTTAAATGTACCCATGATATGGAATGTGTACATTTTCATGGATTGGATTGCTCTCAGAATTGGGCTTAGGGGATTAAAGAGACAAGAAGTTTGTGAAGAAACAGAAATCTCAAATGCGATAGCGTATTAATATCTTGTAAAGGAAAGACACGTTTTGAGGTGACGTCAAATTATTTGGAATTTTACATTTGTTTAAATTAATGCACTGCTGAAATTATCATTATTCAAATCTGAATCAAGTGAGTTGTCATGGTTGTGTTTTATAAGAATAAAAATGTGTGGCATAACATTTACAGACTGTAAGTTATATTAGGCAATTATATTATTAAGCAAGTACAAAGATTTAAGCATTTTGGACACCTAATCTGAGACAACACAAGGAATATGGAAATGGAATTACAATCTTAAGAAATAATTACATTGATAAGAGAAATTTTTACAAATGGATATGTACGGAACTAGAAATATGAATACGTAACATTTCAAGAAAAGCAACTTTGATGTAAGGTAATGAGGGTTGATTATTTTAGAAAAATGACAAAGTAGGACTTGAAACAGCACAAAACGACTGTCACTGGGTATTACAAGACTAGGTCAACATCATGCAGACATCATGTAAAAATACATATTTGAAACGGTATCAGCGAAATTTTAAAATTAAAGTTTTGTATTCTTAGAGCCCACAATTTCTAAGCAGTTATGCATTTTTAAAGGTTCTAGGCTTATTATTTTTTTTTAGCTGGTTCTTCTGTTCCTCGGATATAGTATTACATGATATATTTATGTCTTGACACAAATTCTAGCAATGCAGAATCATAGGATTGAGCTGTAATTGGGAATTGGAATTATTTCTGTATGTGGAACTAGAGAAGGAATGGTGATGATTTCATGAACACATGCTTAAATATGCATGAGGCATGTTGATGGTAACAAATAGTATTTGTGTCTATTATAGCCTAATTGTAACAGGATGATTTTCTTGTTTTGGTAGATTTTGGAAAGCAATTCATGGCTTCTGATGTATTAAACAAAACTAAAATGTGCTTCTCTGCATGTTATTGCCATGTGGTATTTATTACACAATAATAAGAACTGCAAACAGTTTTATAGTTTTCTTTTGCAAGAAAAATCCATATTTGGTGAATCCTGGGCTGAAATTTATGCTCATTGAAGATATTTAAATGTACCCATGATATGGAATGTGTACATTTTCATGGATTGGATTGCTCTCAGAATTGGGCTTAGGGGATTAAAGAGACAAGAAGTTTGTGAAGAAACAGAAATCTCAAATGCGATAGCGTATTAATATCTTGTAAAGGAAAGACACGTTTTGAGGTGACGTCAAATTATTTGGAATTTTACATTTGTTTAAATTAATGCACTGCTGAAATTATCATTATTCAAATCTGAATCAAGTGAGTTGTCATGGTTGTGTTTTATAAGAATAAAAATGTGTGGCATAACATTTACAGACTGTAAGTTATATTAGGCAATTATATTATTAAGCAAGTACAAAGATTTAAGCATTTTGGACACCTAATCTGAGACAACACAAGGAATATGGAAATGGAATTACAATCTTAAGAAATAATTACATTGATAAGAGAAATTTTTACAAATGGATATGTACGGAACTAGAAATATGAATACGTAACATTTCAAGAAAAGCAACTTTGATGTAAGGTAATGAGGGTTGATTATTTTAGAAAAATGACAAAGTAGGACTTGAAACAGCACAAAACGACTGTCACTGGGTATTACAAGACTAGGTCAACATCATGCAGACATCATGTAAAAATACATATTTGAAACGGTATCAGCGAAATTAGAATTCTACCAAAACCAAGATGGCTGAAGAAAGATTTAGAGATCAACTACAACTTGAAGGTTTTAGTAACAGCCAGTTTATTATAGTCCCGCTTAGTTTGTGATCAGGTCTGCATGAATTAAGAAGCCATTTCCAGAAACTAGGAACCAGAATGTGTTTGTGTCTGTGTGTTTATAATATGGAACAAATTTAGGCAATATCCCGAAAAGTTTAGATATCATGGCAACCCGATACCCGAGATTTGTTTGGGCCTGTCGATGATGATTCATAACGAGGAAGAAATGTGTCACAGGTCAAGAGTAAGGGAGATTGGAACTGGAAGGTAATTTGGGGGCTGTAATCTGTTAGAAAGGTGTAAGTAGATTTCAGTAATTAGTACTCAAAGCATGTAAAAACATATTACACTTTATACAACGTACACAAAATATATACAATTGTCTTATATCTCCTGATAGGTACATGGTTTTTCAGACATATTTCCATCACATTTTAAGTCCCTTGTCAAATTTTGGAGTATTAATATAGAGTACTTCCAGCTGTGAAAGACATTTACATATTTTATAACTTTTCTACGTATACCAGTAGTGAATACACAGCTTAGGGCATTCATATACTGAGATTTTTGTAGGATTTAATTCTCATAGTGGTGAGTACAAGGATGGCTGTTTTCTGGGATAAAGCACCGTCCAGGTATTAAGTCTGTAAACCAGTTCTGAACTATAGTTCTGCTAGAACTTCATAAGTTGACAATTCAAAACTTGAGAAGTGATTCTTATAGTAGTGTGGTGTATTGAATAACTCATGTACCTTACATTTGATAATAATATATTCTTAATTTTAACATTAAACTAATTGGACCATTTTCCATGAAACTTGATATGTAAAGGATATTGATAATAATCGAATTATCACCATTTTTAAGTAATCCTTTTCAGCAGAATCACCAGCATTGTGAATATTTATCGATGAACAATTTGTGATATTTCTGAGGTTTGATTCTGAAAGTGAAGTATTGAAGGGATGCGTGGTTTGTTGTGTGTGACACGCCGAAATTAAATTCTGTTGCACGAGATATGAACAGAAAATGTTATTTCTTAATAGATGTGACTTTGATTGAAAAATAAATAATAAAGACAGGTGTACAGTATATTGAGAGAGAAGTAATATCTCATGACATAAGTGAAGGTACACTGTTTTAACTCTATCTTATTAGAATAGGGACTTAAGTCCGTATACTACAGGGCTGCTGGCTGGCTGGACCATGCATGAGCCCTGAAGTGTGGCCCGTAAAGTTTAAGGAAAAGATTTTTATGTTTATTTGGTTTCTGATAGAAATACAGATTTGTAAAATATGAATTTTACAAGATTACTAAATATGACGAAGTCTTGGGCAATAACCATATTCAAAACTCAAACTTCAGTGCTTGTCAGAAATTAGTTGTATGTGGAAGTACACTGGTTTTCATTTTGTTAGGTCACCACTCTGACTGTTCTTTTGAAAGAATTTTAGAAGCATGTTTTGTTTGTTGTGTTTGGTAAGCTCAACTATAAATCTTTGGTCTACGACATTTTGAGTGTCCAGGTTACACTGTAAAATATTAAACTTGATGCAGGCCAGTGTATTAAGTTTTTGTACCAAATAGGTACAGTTCTGAACCAGTTTCAACATCCACTCTGAAAGCCTCTTGCCTTAAGATCCGTATCAGTGACTTCCATCTTCTCTGTCTTCCATTGGTTGTTTTCCAAGATGTTTCTTATCCAAAATTCTATTTGCTTAACATTACTGATAGATGTGTAACAGAAGGGTTAAAGTGGCATTCAGTATGTATGTAGACTGTCTTATTTTTATTTTTAGACATTGGAAACTTTCAGTATATCAGGGCTTTTTATGTGTGCCTCTAAGACATTGCACTTATGTCCAGTGGTTTAGGTACCATTATAGAAATCAGCTGTGAATGAAAGATTTAACGATGAATATCGAGTGCATGTCATATTACATATTGTATGCAAGGAAAATGGCGCAACAGTTATGTTAAAGTTATCCTCAGAAGTTTATCACAAGGCAGTCATTTGCACTGGATTATTGGGTTTTTTTGGACTTTGTCCAACATCTGATGATGGACAAAGTCCAAAAACCCAGTAATCCAGATTGTGTTACACCGTCATCATCATCGTCATAACCCTTCAGAATAGAGTCATTTGCACTGTTCATGACGATGTGATCCATCGAGTTCAGGTGCATTCAACACATCAGGTTACAAATTGCATTTCTTGCCCTTTTAGCCTCTATAAATAAACTAGAAAGGTACCTGTGGGGGCACTTGTGTTTCTCATCTGTGCATCACTCAACTTCCTTGGTCTGCATCTCTGACTTTTTAATTAATTTATTTTGGTATTTATCATCTTCCCATCAAGTAACAGAAATATGTATTTCTCTTTTTAGTAGGGCTTTGATTTTTAATTTAGAGTTTGATTTAAGTAAGTACATTTTTCATGCAGTTGCACTGATAGTCCCTCTGGGCTTGATCATCATGACGGCTTTCTTCAGCGTATAGTCCCAGCCCCTCCATCGGAACCACACGATACCTGGAACAGATGTGCGATGTGACTCGGTGCAAAGCTGGACCAAATATTATTTATGTTACGATTGAATAATGTTTAGTTTTGTCGTGTAATTCCTAGGTGTCCCAGATTTGTAAACTTATGCATAGAATGATCATGTAAATATTTATATTCAAAGTAGGAAAAAAACCCTTTTTATTTATTTTTTAATCCAGAGAACTTTCTTTAATGCGAACAGTGCAGGGAAATCGTCCTCCATACCTTGCCTTGCTGTGAGGTCTTGAGGATCATTAAGATAGAGCCCATTGAGGCCTCTGCCACACGATTTCCACCACCAGCCACCCTTCAGCATTGAGGCACAGTTCAAACTTGACCTGTCATTATCTCTGTGAACAAACCATGAAGTAATGAAATAGAACTTAAAATGTGTATCCTTCATGTCCAATATAGGCTAGCATATTCTCTGAAAAGGATTATTGTTCAAGATGAAAACTGCTATTCTAAGAAAAGTCTGTGCTGTGAAAATCTTTGATAGTGTTTACAACATTAAAGTCCATATTTCATAAGTGAATTCTTTATGCTGTTGTTAATTTATTAAATTATGTTACACTGTATGTACAGAAAAAATTTTCAGACAAAAGTTGCAGATCTTAATGTATCCTATAGTCATTTTTATTTTTTCTTCTTTGTAAGATGTTTGCATTTCGTGTGAGTCATCCAATATTTGATATTGTATACTAGTTTTTGTCAAGAAGCTGTTTTTAAGAGAAATTATAAAAGTCTGATTTGAGACAAAGTATATGGATTGTTTTCTGTTGATACTCTTTTCTTGAGCATTTATGGATTCAATCCTTTGGCTTGTTCCAGTTCAGAATTAACTTCTAAAACTGTGGATTCATTTAGACACGTGGTGGCTATGATGGGGGATGCATGGAATGTGTACAGAATTTTGATGTAGAAATCCTTTGGGTTATGTCTGCTTCGAAGTCCAAGAATGAAATGGGCGAATAATATTGAACCTTTCAGTTCTTCTAGGATATTGTTAGTTCATTGTTAGTTTTAATACTAATCTAGAGAACTTGGAGAAGTACTGGTGTTGTAATAGAAAATAGGAAGCTGAGCATTTCTGAAAAGTGTTTTGCTTCAGAGATATTTTAAAAGATTACTCTGGATGCAGAATGATTTTTAGAAACAATCGTTTTTATAATAAGTAGCATTCATAAATTTCTCTTTTGTTTATATTTAATTTTCTTTCTTTCTTTCTTTCAGACTTCTCTGTCTGAATTGGCTACAAGGATGCGTGTTGGATGGCAGAAGGTAAGGATTTGAGTACTCACTTGACGTACAAACTTTGTTATTTTTGTGAATAGGAGCGGAATGGTCATGGATTCTACTGAAATTGCTACCTGTCCATGAGCCCTTGAATTAGTGTTGGCCCATTTGATGCCACACTGAAGTTACTCACCGCGTACGAGTCTGTTTCGTCAGACTTAGAAAACTTTCTCAAGATACCAATAGATGGCAGCACCAAAAGTGGTCGTACCTGTTGTACGTCGAGAAGGGGCTGTTGTTACTGCCATACCAGGGGTCATTCAGAGAGTCACCAGCGTTACCTTCATAACCATCAATCTCCAATTTGTAGTACTCTGCTTCAGAATAGATCTTGAAATGGCTGTACTGGGCATAT